CTGTAGAATAAGAAAACATGTAATTTCTGTTGGGAATAATGGTCAAGTATGGGTTGTATATATTGTATTCCCTGTACACTTTTGATCTCGTTTAAAGTCAAGAAAATCTACAAATAATACAAGTTGTATTATCAGTGCACCTGAAAAAGGAGCAATTTCACTAAATTCCTAAAAGTTTCAATATGACATTAATTTTCTCAATAACTATGTAAACTTTCCCTCAGCTTGGTGTCTTTATATACAGAAAGGTGTTGTTTTCTTCCTTTTCTACAAGTCAAAAATGACATATTTCTGAAATTAGAGGAATCCAATTTGTCCTTTTACTATTTGGTTTAAGCTCCTTAAGATGTTTATTATGGTAATAAATGTTTCGTCTACACAGTTTCTTCTACAGTAAAATAGTTTAAAAGTTTAATGTTTCAAAAACTGTTCCACTACAGCGTGATGTAAAGTAATGTTTAGATTCAGCTCAACAATGTGTTTTTTTTGTGGGTTTCTTTTTTTTTTTAAATACAGGAATGCAATATGAGAAACCGTCTTAATATGTACATATTTTTATAGAAAAATATTTATTAAATTAAATTTTCTTCTGTCCTGAAAAATTGTTGCATTTCCTAAGTTAACAACTTATTCACACATATCAACAACACATATCTCATAGATTTATTTTTGGACATTGTAATGATTATGACTAATGGAAACCTGAGATGTAGTTCCTCGAATATTTTTTTATAGAAATTTTGTGTTATGTTCTCATAGGAAGAGTGCACTTTGCATGCTAAAGATTTAAAAGCTTGTATGTATCAATATGTAAAGAACTTAAATGTAAAGTTGACTGAAAGTACAAAGTATGATAGAAAAAAAGGAGCACAACCAACAGAAATATCTGCAGCATATAGAGGATAAGAACTCCATGCACAAGGATTGTACCGCTGCTGGAATTAGTTCTTTTTATAATCTGTTTACTCCTGGCTTCCCTATGCTAACCCTGTTTGTTGTGCCATTGCTGCTTTATCCCAATGAAACATTGGGAAAGAAGAGGAACTTTAGCCGACAATTTTGGCAACCTTTTCATGACACCACAGCAGTGCCACAGGCTTTTAGCCTTCATGACATACTGCCTGATGCAATAAATCATGCCAAAGGGGATCCCTACTATACCATATTACTGATATACAACACACTGACATGCTTCTAAAGGGGGATAACAATTTTGACAAACTTTGTGTATTGGTTCTCTATCAAGTTAATATTTTCATAAAAATGTTTATGGCGTTTCAAATAAATGTGAGATATAAACATCAACATCAAAAATAAGCATTTCCAAGGCATGACTGTGTATAAAATATAAAAAATAACAAGTTTTAGTATTAATATAGACTGCTTTGTTTTAGAGTTGATTGAAAATTAACTTAAATTTTGACATAACCTTGAAGGAACCTGTACGAAATTAAATTGAACAACAGAGGGTGCTGTGTGAACTGCATAAATCTTAGGCTTTATTTGTCATTGCCACAGTCTTTCACAGTGTGTGCCACTCTGTAGCCTTTAGTGGGCCAGAGCTACACCTGATGATTCCTCCTGTTTAGCCCAGTTTTACTTAATTTCACACTTTTCCACACTATGCTTTAAAGTTTTATCTTCCCACACCATGGTGTAAATTTCCATGCAATGGTGAAAAAGTATATATTTCTGCACGCTGGTTTGGTGGTTCTGAATAAAACCAGACTCTGTAATTTGATTTTAGGTAGAAAGCAACCTAATTCCTCATTCGAAGAATTGCCATAGTAACAGCATTACCTAACTGAGGTGGTTTCAATGTGTGTGTTTGGGTGTGTGTGTTTGGGCCGCCTGCAGACGAGTCAAAGTGAGACTGTCTGAACTCCCCCAGTCAGCCACCCTCACACACATGAACAGAGTGCATTCCAGGGCAGCGAACATGCTGAGACATTTCTCTGAATTGATCTGGGGGGGAGGAGGTTGCTGTTGAGGTTTTCCCTATGATATCCCAAAGTAAGAGACGAGAAAAGCTCCAGGCTCTCAAAGTATGGCCTACCTACAAAACAAACACAAACCCCAGCTTTAGTAAGTTGTTCCACAAAAGTTTAGACAGTCCAACTTTGTTTTGGATTGGTTTGCATATACTTTTAAGGGAAAACATCTTAAGAAATAGGGAACCCTTTTCGTTCTATTAAAGGAATAGTACACCCAAAACATGATTAGCCTTCATTTTCTACTCACCCCCATGCTGAACAACACTCTGGAGTACTTTTTTGATATCTCAAATGCATCTGGAGATCTGGGAGGCTCCTTGCTGTCTGCTGACATTCAAATAATGGAGGTCTATGGCGCCCGAGGCAGAAAGGTCCATAAAAGTCCACAAAAAACGTGTCAATATTCCTCCATACTGCTCGTCCAATGTATTCTAAGTGTCCTGAGTGGGTAGCATCCAGAATTTACTCGAAACGAAGTCATTCAGAATGTTTTTAGAGCATAAACAGTAGTGTATAGGATTTCCTGAAAGCGCGCGCCGGCGCGTTCATGACGCTATGGAAACCGCGGCAGACCAAGCCAGATGAAAGTGCGCATTCAGCTCGGCAAAGAACTCATGCTCTTCCTCAACACTGAAGTCCTCAGACATTTTTCTTTCGTTGTTTCTTTCTTTGCACAGGTAAACGGCACATTTCTTCTTCTACGCTTGCATTATCGTCAGTGCAGACGCTGAATGCGCACTTTCATCTGGTTGGTCTGCCGGCTTCCGTAGCGTCATGAACGCGCCGGCGCGCGCTTTCAGGAAATCCTATACACTACTGTTTATGCTCTAAAAACATTCTAAATGACTTCGTTTCGAGTAAATTCTGGATGCTACCCACTCAGGACACTTGGAATACATTGGACGAGCAGTATGGAGGAATATTGACACGTTTTTTGTGGACTTTTATGGACCTTTCTGCCTCGGGCGCCATAGACCTCCATTATTTGAATGTCAGCAGACAGTAAGAAGCCTCCCAGATCTCCAGATGCATTTGAGATATCAAAAAAGTACTCCAGAGTGTTGTTCAGCATGGGGGTGAGTAGAAAATGAAGGCTAATCATGTTTTGGGTGTACTATTCCTTTAATGTATGAGAAGATTCTCTCCTAGACTGTGGATTTTACTTCTAATTCAGTTTCCTCTTCAAAGGGTGTGGGTATGACACTGTAAAGCCACAGCCTGACGTGTTTCTTGTGGCTGGGAGTAGATGCTCTGCTGAGTCAAGGCAGGAAGACTGTTTCAACTCAAATGTGGCACTGCCATTTAACTTGCTCTCTCCTTGTCTGTCACATCTGCCCACTGTTTGGAAACTGTTACGTGGGTGGAATATTAGATTAATCAGTTAGTCTAAATTAGGAGATAAGGTGGGCTTTGCAAAATGTCAGACACCCAGAATGCATGCTTGCATAAAAAAAGGAGCCACAAGCTTTCTTGTTTAAGTACTCGGAGGTCAAATGTTGTATTGGAAGACTTTCCTCAACACATGTGACTGGCCCTGAGCGGACATTTTCATGATTGCCACGATAGAAATTTATTGATAAGAAGTGAGTGTAATGCAGTTTCACTGACTCATATAGTTATCTCAAATGAAGATATTTTACTTTTGGAGTCTCTTTAAATTCAGATCATATTTTCAGTCTTATCCAGCAGTATTTAAAAGATTTCTGTAGAAACAATGCTTTGAGGTGGAAATAGTTTAACTTAAAATAGTTCTTCCTCTAAAAAAGAGGGCAGTGGCCATCCCCATGGATTTACTCACGTCTTCAAATCAGTGATTTACCTTCTTCAAAGTGGATTTTTGATAAACCTGTAGTTTGATGGAAGAAACGTGTATGTGTAATTTACAGTTAACCTTGCAACAATGCTAGTGTACAGATTTATACAGATTTAATGCTATTTAAAGTTCTCTTAGTAAGAGAGACCCTCCTTGACATTGGCCTAAAGGCGACTCAGCAAAACAAGTGATATTACTCCAAAATCACCATTGGAATAAATCTTTATATTATATTAAAACTAAGGTTGATTTTGTCATGGTTATTTATTTTTGTGTGTCATGCCAAAAAACTAAATGTATAGTCACCCTAGCTGACTAACTCTTGCAAAACTTTCTGGAGACTCAGGTAGGCATGAAGAATTAATAACATAAGACATTCCTTGCAGTTTTTATATTTTCAGGATTTTATTTCTTTCTATAGAGGTAGAATGATATTTAAAAAAGAGTGCTTCTTGAAACGTGCAGACAGAACAAACTTCTATTAAATGTTCATCTTTATTTTAAATCATCTGTGAAATTATTTGGTCTGTTTGGATGTTTCATTTGTTTTAAAATTTTAACTGTAACTTTATACAAGATAGACTCCAATATCTGTGCAATAATCGAATCTGTAAGCTTTCTACTTTAGTTTTAAATAAAGGAAGCAAGTTCATTGTTGTACTTTTGTCATGTTTCATTTGCATATAACTGGAATGCATAGTTGTATCATTAAAACTCAAATTAATACACTGCTTTTGAGTTTTGTTGTTGACTTTTATCAAAATCAATAGTGTTTCGATATAAAGCTCAGACATGTAGCAGACTGAAAAAATTAAACTAAGCCATTTTATAGAATATTGTGGGTAAAAAGTGAGCACAGAGCAAAATTAAGAGAAAAATTTTATATATATGTAAACATATATATAAAATGTATATATAAAATATATAAATTGTATATGTATATATATATATATATATATATATATATATATATATATATATATATATATATTAGGTTTAATTTAAAAAAAACTGTCTGAAATAAGTCTGGGTTTATTGAGAAGTCCCATGATGTCATGGTTTCATTTAGCAACTTTTTTTTTTTTTTTTTTTTTTTTTATGCAGAGGATTTCGTCATCGGGCACGGTCATTCACACAGAAACAGCTACTGTCATTGGCTGTACGCGACTGTCAATCAAATGTCCTTGTGCGTCATTTCCGTTGTCAGGTGGCGCTGTCTCTGTGGAAAGATGCGATCAGCGAGAAGCGGAGGCTTTTCCTTAATTGCTCATTTCAGTAATAGAGGGTAAACAACGCGAAACTAAAATCTCCGAAGCTTCTGCCGCCTGTGAGAGAAGCTCCGTACTCCCACCACAGCTTTCGCCTGAGAAATGTCGATATTTTAAGGGGGCAACGCAGTTCTTAGCCGGCGGTTTTGGCTTTGAGGTAAGCGAGGCTGCGACTCGGTTGCTATTTAGCTTCTCTCGCCGTGAGCCAGCTGCAATGTTGAGTGTACTTTGTTTAAATGGCCTCGCAGCTGCTCGGTAGATTTAAGCTCCGCGTTAGCTGTAATGTAGCTCGTTCAACAGCCATATTTAAACCTCCATGGTGCAAATTGAATCAAAGGAACTCATGCTAATAACGATTGTTGGCTCTGCACCCCACTCATTGTTGTGCTGTCTGCCCCTTTGTGTGGCTCACGAGCCCCGAGCTGTTCTAACCCATTCAGCCGAGAAACTAAGTTGGCTTCACACGAGTTCGTAAATGCACTAAAGGATAGTTTCAGTCATATTCTACTCAAAGATAACAGCGTATGTTTGTGATCTTAAATCGGCCTTAAATGTGTCGCCAAGACTTCGCTAATCAAGTTGTAATCTTCCTGTGTCCAACTTGCGATGCTTTAACGTCAGCGCTTTAGTTTACACAGCACGCTGCCAGGACACAGTGTCCACACCTTATGGACCCAAAATGGCACCAGTGCTTTGAAGCAGTTTTTGTATTTCTTTTCTTTATTGTTATTATTATTATTATTTGCATTTCCATTCGTTTTTGTCAAGTGATTTTTATGGTGTGACCTTTGCATGGGAAAGGACATTGTTATTGCAGTGATTACTAGGGTTATAGCTGACAGTCCATGTGCTTCCTAAGCTTCAAGGGCTTCTTTTCTTTTCTTTATGTTTTTGTGAACAGTGTATTTGGTTTATAGCACATTCTGCTATGTATTGTGCATATAAAGGATGTTTGATTTTGCAGCGTGTTCATGCATTGCCCAGACATAAGCCATTGAGTATCTGTAGGTGAGTCGTGAGACACCTACTTGGTTGTTTTGTTCGCATACTATTTAAAGCCCACATTTCTTGTGGGCACTGGCAGCGTGTCTTTCCTCCTCTCCTGTGATATGATTCAGAGGCTGTATCTGTTCTCGTCCTCCCTCTGGTACAGTCACAGCCAGTCCTGTTTGCCAGACCACTGGCTGTGTGCTGAGAGTTGGAGCAGTGCTGGAAAAGGATAGCTGTGTATGCTGTCATCACACTGTCATTCAGGTCAGCAGGCTGGAGTTTGTTACATTGACCTTTTGCTTTTTTTTGTGCTTTTTTAAGATTTCTGGGTTTGGCTCCACAACTCTGCAGCAGGTTCTTGCCTGAACATTGAGGAGCATCTGTTCTTTGCATTATATGCCAATGGCCTATAGTTTGATGTTTTAAATCCGGTTTGTTGAGTGACATGCATGTACAAGAGCTATACCATAAAATGAACAGACGTGTGCAGAGGTAGCTCTTTTGACTCCTAACAGTAGATGAAAGATTTGTTCCATTCCTTGTTAATGTATTAGATCATATGTGTCCTACCTTTTTAATTTATTTAATTAAAATAAAAAAAAACATTGAATCAAACATAAATAATTTCACCATTATTCCAATTTGTGTCAAAACAAACATCTCACAATATTGCCTCTAATGGAAAGCTGTTATGCTTTGTTATAGTGCATTTAATAAACATGGACAAATATCATTATTTTCTATTTTATAATGGTTGAACAGGGGTAAGCGTTTTGATTTCATTCTCAATATAATTAATCTCTCTTTTAAATGCTTGTCCACCAAGTTTATGATCACCTGATCCACCTGACATGGCTTTGTCTCCTCGGATGTAAGATGTTATCCTACCGTTCCCAGTGTGACTCGGTGTCACTCTGACTTGCGCCACAAACGGCGACAGAAAACCTCAACTCATCAGACTCGGTGGGTGATGACTAGCAGAAACGGAGACAGATGGGAGAGAGACGTGATGATGACACTGTCTGCTGTCTGGGATCACAAAAAGCCTCATGGAAGTGAGAATTCATACAAGCCCTTGCTGAACTGCCAGCTGTCCTACCTCCTCCGTGCTCCAAATTGCCAGCAGTGCACAATTGTCTCTGTACCAGAGACATTTCTGAATTGGCTTAAAAAAACGGAACTCTGGGATTCCACGGTTGGACAACACAGTGTCAAAATGTTGTTTCATGTTTTCAACCCCCCCCATAAGGCTTAAATTTTGTCATGTGGTGGATTATGAAAGATTTTTTTCCATTTTAGAAAGCTCACTTTTAGTTTTCTCATCCTTCCATCATCTTCGCCTGATACTTGTCACCTACTGTTACCACTCGGAATGCATGGTGCAGACTTTTGATGGGAAATAAAGAGTATTATTTAAACATTGAAGCATTTCTGTTCAATGAAAACTTGGTACGGCAGCAGGATGAATCATTCCTCTCTTTTCAGGGCTCTACTTCCCCATTACGGGAAGCAGATGGCATTTCATCACACTGGCCCTGGCTATCAGTAAACACAGCATACCTCTCGCTCTCTGATTTCTGGGAGGTGAATGAGATCCACAGTGTCTGTAAAAGCACTTCATAAAAAAAGCAATGTGTCACTGTCACTCGTTCTGCATGCATCTAGCCTCTGTGTCATTGAGCAACAGCTCTGTATTTTAACTTTTTGGTCGTGTTAAAACTCGCATTCACATTTAAAGGCGAGATAAGCTCTTTGCACAGATTCAGTGATAAAGCATGCAGATTAAAGAGCATGGGGATTTTCCTTAACCCGTTTCAACCGCTGCAGGGGGGGAAGCTCAGGATTAGTGAGTCGAATGAAAATAAAATCTTGTTTTAAAGCTTTTCGTTTGCATGCAAGTGCCTTCCATTTTGCAGATTGTGTCATCACCACAGTGCCTAGTGTGGAGATTGGATCTGAGGTGCTGGTCTTGACGCTAGCGGCCGTTATTCTAAATTGAGCTGTAATGCAGTCACATTCACACTGAGGTGTGTAAATGTGGGGGGAGAGAAGTGTAAATGGGCTGGGTGGAGCTGACCTGAACTTCAGCTCTTTTAACTTGGTTTCATACTGTTTTCTCATTTAATGGTTTTAGAGCTCTGTTTATTCCAATTTTTTAGTTAATTAATTCCTTTTTACCCTCAGAATAGTTTATTGGTTGTCGTACTCTTTGTCACATCTGTGTGCTTTCCCTTTTACTTGTCTATCTTTATCCCATGAACTAATCAGATTTGTTCCCTGCAGAGCTCCAGTATGTCCAAACGGCGCTCGTCAGAGAGGGGGGCTGGAGAGACGTCAGGCAGGGCCAGCAAGCTCCAGTGTCCTGGGATATCTGGCAGTAATGCCAAGAGAGCCGGCCCCTTTATCCTTGGTATGGAGCTTACTGCTGTTTAAAATATATTATCGAATCCTGTTCAAGGAAACTGTAGAGGTTGATGTATACATGCTGTGCATATTGCTACTATGCATAACCTCAGGAGAATTACACCAACCATAGAGTTATGGGACTATGTTGTGGACTTACACACGCCTGAGACAAGAATTTGAAGAATTTTGCTGAACCTCTTGACATTGGCCAGGGAAACTGGAGACTATGCCTGGGCATTTTTTTCTTTTTCTTCCTTGGGGATTATATAATCCATTTCTATACTCTAAAATAGTTTTTTTATTCTCCACTACTGCTCCCTCACTGTTTCCCAAATAACTAGCTTAAAAAAACATTGCACTTTGGGTGTGAATGGATAAATGTACACACCACCTTTAATGAGTTTTGGTGAGAGCAAACACAGTAGCATTTCAGCCTGCCTTTTGGTCATGCAGCTGTTCCTTTTCCCGTCCTTGCAGGACCTCGCCTGGGCAACTCACCAGTACAGAGCATAGTTCAGTGTTTGGCCAGAAAAGATGGCACGGATGACTTCTATCAGCTCAAAGTAAGTCTCTTAAATCCACTATTGTTTTTTTAATGATCTATCATTGTAGCTTAAAAAATATGTTCAACATAACCGTTTTAAGCCTTCTCTGTATCCATCTCAACTTCTGACCTTTTCATAGTGAACATTTTATTGCCCTCAGTGCAAGTCTGGCAAAAACAAGCAAACGTGAGCCAGGCATGTTGTTTACTGGGATTATCCAGTAGATCTTAAGCAATCAAGGGGCCTCTAAAGCAAACATTGCACAGGAAATGTCAGTGTTTAACCTCTCCAGTCTCTGGACTGTGATTTCATGTTTAGATGCATTTAGATCTTGCTTACTGTTTGCTCTTTTGTCAGATCTTGACGCTGGAGGAGCGAGTAGACTCTGCTGGGGAGACTCAGGAGGAGAGGCAGGGAAAGATGCTGTTGCATACAGAATACTCTCTCCTTTCTCTGCTGCACAACCAGGATGGGGTGGTCCACCATCATGGCCTCTTCCAGGTAATTTCAGATCTACATATCTTTTTACTTGATAAACATCCCTTTATAGCAGTTCTTTTTTTTTTTTTATGAATGAAACATTGTTTTTTATATAGCTTTGTCTCAATGGCAAATCCTGTGACACCAAATTTCCCTTTAAGAATATTTTTAACAAAACCAAAGTAACAATTTGCTGCTATCTGTTCAGAATTAGCAGCAGCAAGTTTGTCATCCATCAAAGCAGCTGCCTGTAATTTCTTTATCAGGGTTGTCGCAGTTAAATAGTAGAAATACTATTAAAATCTTTATCTAAATCAGTTCTCTTTCCTGCTTCTTCACCCTCTGTTCCATCTGCCTTCTCCTTTAACTTTTCTCCATCAGCTCTTGGTCTTCCATTCACATCCTGTTTCACTTTTTTAGTGCTCTTAGAATAGCAGCATTAAGCCTTGCAGGCTGATTCACTTCAAGCTGCAATATTGATTAGATTATTATAGTTCATCTCGACTGTCTGTGAACCCTTTCATGCTTCGGTCTTTCAGAGATGCTGACTGCATCTAAAAAAAACTGCCAACCTGATACAGAATCAATAGGAAACAAGTGAGTGAGTCTACATACGCTTGTGTTTTAAGAATAGAAATGACCTTTCCTATCTTTTCCACCACATCCAGCTCCACTGACTGTGCAGATGTAGACATTCATAGTGGCTGCGGTCAGCTGCTAAATGATGGTCTGTCTTGAGACTCGCTTATCAGAACTTTGTGGCTGATTCCTTTTAATATCCAGTTTTTGTAACGTTTCAACCTGCTACATGATGATATGAGATGATCATATGAACCGTAATTAAAGGAAATACAAGAACAGGGTTTAAAGTATCTTTTTCTAACCTTCCTCCCAAAGTTTATTATTAATTATTAATTGTTTGAATTATTTGCAAAGTTGCTGTCACATTATTATGTGAGAGGAGTCCCTGTGCAGCAGGTGTTAATGGTATTTAGAGCAAATTAAATATTAAGCATCCTATTGAGTGAGTAATTTGGCTCCTTTCATCATCTGATTTGGTTCTTTTAAATTTCCTCCTGGTGAAATTGATTCAATGCCGACAGAAATGGATCTCAAATTCCAACTGTTCTGTCAGATAAAGAAGTAAACACCTTCTCAAGGCTTCATTCCCACACAGAGGTGTCAAGTACACTTTTTAGGCATCTATACTTTAAGCCATTACTTATTTTTCATCCTACTTCTGACTTCTACTTGTTACATTTTCACACAAGTATCTGTACTTTCTATTTCTTACATTTTTAAAACAAACATTACTCCTTACTCTTGGCTTCTGTTTTATGTTTATAAATGTTTATTTTACATCATGTGCGCCATCCAATGCAGATAATTGGCCCCATCAACATCTAGTGAAAACCAGTGTGATTGGATGAGTCATATAACGCAAACAGTCATTAGTTAGCTAAAGGAAATCATCAGAAGCAAGCAGGTGTTCATTAAACTGTAAAGGCGAATTGTCTATGCCATGCTACATTGTTGGATTCAGAAAAAGATGTTAAATGTCTGAAAAGTCAGACACAGGCGAGAGCGTATCGGGAGATGGAGACGGAGACCACAGGACCTCCCTCGTCCTTGGCCCTATCTCAGGTATTGTTTGAACTAGTCGAAAAATAGAGCTTTTAATTCTTATAGTGGCATCTGGCTGTTTTTTAAAGGTTACTTTATACTTTTATACTTTAAGTAGTTTTTGGAGCACATACTTTTTCACTTTTACTTGAGTAAAGAGGTCAAGTTGATACTTCAACTTTTACCAGAGTGTTTTTAAACTGCAGTATCTATACCTCTACTTAATTAACAAATGTCTGTACTTTTGACACAACTGTTCCCATGCTTATTTTTGTTTGCAGGATCGTGCCTACGAAATAGTGGAGGACATGGAGGCCAACAAAATCCGTAAGATGAAGAAGCGGATCTGCCTGGTGTTGGACTGCCTGTGTGCCCACGATTTCAGTGACAAGACAGCAGATCTGATAAACCTCCAGCATTATGTCATAAAGGAGAAGCGACTGAGCGAGCGTGAAGCCATCGTCATTTTCTACGATGTTGTGCGCGTGGTGGAGGCCCTCCATAAGGTTTGTCTTATTACCTTTTTGCAAAGAAAGAATGTGCAGCAAACTCTGCTCACTTTCTTTTTTTTCTTCCATCAATGGAGAGAGCTTTCATACAACTCTGCTCTTTGTTGTTGTTTGTTAATTGCACATACTTCTGATTACTCACTTCCATGGCTCGCGTGCCACTCCCAGAAACTGATTTCTGTTATGGCAGTGATTCACTGAACACAATGTGACCATACTTCTTTTCTTTTTTTTCCTTCCCACTTTCCTGCCTGCAGAAAAACATTGTGCACAGAGACCTCAAGCTGGGAAACATGGTGCTTAACAAACGGTAAGTCGATGTTCAGTCACTCTTCCAACATTGTCAGTCAGTTCATGGCACATAATGCTGTCTATTATGCCATGTCTGGTGTTTTAGCTTGGCAGTAATGTGCATGATGGCTGAGTGGCCCCAGCAGCCCGGATCCAGTGAGCATTAAGCTTTAAACCCAGACAGAGGCCACATTCTTTGACTAAGAGTAAGATTACACTCAGGAACCTACAGGCTTGCTCTCTTATACTCAGATCTGGGGGCTGTGTCAGTGTGTTGAGTAATAATAAATGATTCACTCCCTATGGTCAGAGATTTAAAAATGGATTCTGGTGCTAAACATAACAAAAAATATGTGTCTGCTTTGATCTCAGTGGGAAAGTGTTTGGGTTTGGGGGTGTATGAGCAATTTAGTAATGCGCAGAGGCCCTGTGGACTGCAGCTCCGGTCAGAGTGCTGCAGCTCAGATGAGACTTGCAGGATAGAAAGCTACTCATCTGTAAACTCTCCAACCAGCTCATGCGTAGGGGATATGAAAGGGTTGTATTCAGATGGTTAGAACTGCTCTTCCTTACTGTGAGAAGAAAAAATAGTCCTTTTCTCTATTTTATTTTTTAGCATGTGCTCTTAATATCATTAAAAATAAAATTTGGATAATCTTAGAATTTTTATTAAAACTCTTCAGGCAGTTGCTTTGGTATGACTGAATGACTAAACCTGATGAACAGTCGCTGTGTTCCTACGCTCACTTTATGTTGATTTATACCTCTTTGTGGAATGTATCATCAGCCTACACTGTTGCCTACACACCACGCCACTGAGCATTTCTGTTGTGTCGGTGTCATTTGCTTCGCATTCAGGCTGCTAGAATACTACTTTGTGCCATTCATTAATATGATGAGCTGATTCAACTTCATGCCTGTGTTAGACAGAATCTTACTGAAATATGTAAAGATAAACCGAAATATCAATTTGACATTGGACAGTGTTTAACAATATATTCATTAGTGGGACTAGAATTATAGAATAATCACTGCTGAAGGGAATAATCTGAGATTTCAACTAAAGTATAAATCTGAGCAACCTACTGCATTCAGCCTTTCTGCTGAAGTGTGGTTCTCCTCTGAATGAACCACAGAAATATCATTGGAAGGGTTTACTCTCTTTCTTGTTTGACTTAATTTGAACACATTGCTGTTAATTGAAAAAGCAAAATAATTTCAGCCTCTCTCCATTCAGTGACATCATCTGTACTATAGAGTGTTATCAGTAAAACATGGTACTAGGGTTTGGTGATATGACCTCAAATCAATGTCACGATAAATTGGGTAGTTTACCTAACAACAAATGCACAATAAATGCTCCGACTCCTCTATCAGAAATAAAGGCATGTGCAGGAAATGCAACTGGTTTTATTTATCATTAATTTATTGAATAAATCACATTACATGATACTTTTAATTAAGTATTAAAGTCTTATACCCGTTCAGGTTTAAACATTCAACATGTCTCATTAAACAGGTGAGCAATATTACCTCTTGTAAACGTTTTTGCGGAAAGGTAATGGAGCCTTTTGCACATGGACTGTTTTTTAGTCAAACGTTGCATTTTCTGTTCTTTTGCTCAACATCAATAGCGTAATTTTGGTACAACCGAACTGAGTGTGCAGTGAAAACAATGTATATCGTTTAAACTCGCACATCTTCACTCAAAACCAGTGCCTTCAACTCTGGCAACGCGCTCTCGACTACTTCTCTGTGCGCTCAGCTTCATCTCTGCTGTCACTCTGCTCCAAAGAATTAACTGACAGTATTTTTGTTTACTGCTGTGTTAGATGCTTCTTCACTGGGCTCATCCTCCATTCTCTTTGTTTACACTTCTGAGTGGATCAGTGGAGTCACGTGATTCCCCACATGTTGCAGTATCTTAAAGGGGAAGGAAAAACAAGCCACCATCGTACACAGGCAAAACGACAGAATAACGTTAATTTCTATTACCGACATGGGAAAATTGTGACCAGTTAGTGTCACCTGTAGGTGACACGGATTAGACCAGCTAGATTATTTAGTTTGTGACCATCTGATTTTTGATCTTTTCCCACTAATACCAACTGATAGCCTTTCAGCCGTTAAATTGTTTTACCATAAGCTTTTAGTCTGGAGTTAATAATTGATGGTTGGGTTTCATTTCTTTGTATTACTTCATTACTTTTTTCAAACATAATTTTTACACTTATCTTTAATCTTTGGTGCAGATATATTCACTGTGGGTTACATTGAAAAGCAACTTTGTTTATTTAACTTTTTATTTTGCTTCATTAATACACCTAGACAAACAGTATTGTCATCTTGTATACACAGAGTTTATACAAAGCAAAGTTTCGATGCATATAGCTTTTCATCGGTGAATTAGCAAGTTAAAACAGTGAAATTAACATTACCCTTTATAAAGTGCAGCAGTGATTAGAATGTAAACAGTGTAGGAGAAAAGGGAAACCAGTTTAAAGTCATTCAAAAGTCCCTCAGTCCTCTACCTGCAGAAGCAGTAGTACGGGAACTGGTGTTGATGGTGTTGAAATAGTGTTTTGAAGGTGGTGGGGAGCAGAGTAAATGTGAGGAACACTCCGTCGCAGTTGGAAACAAAGGAGAAATGCCAAAGCTCAATAGCTCAGAGCTGACTCACACCACAGTACAATTCACACATACACAAATACTGTCTCAACTCTAATATTCTTATAATCTTTTTCTCTGTAGCACAAAGGCCTATTTTCTCTGTCCTTTTTTAGGGGATATCACCATGTGTTATACTTTCCTGACAATAGTGTGTGTGAATAGACAGTGAATGTGGGAAAACTTTGACCATCCGGAGATAAACTTTATCAGACCCCACTCCCTTGTCATTTATTGTTCTGGGAAATACACCAAATGCATCAAAAACATCAGCAGTTTGTGCAAGAAATTATGTGGCTTCTTCGTCCAGAGCCAGCTGTTATGAAAGCAGGATGTGATAAATCAATATGCACTTCCACTGATTGACTATTTCTGAGTTTAATTTCCTTTTATATATGGGATGTATTTCCTCACGATTTCTTTTTTACTATGGTGCAATAATTTATATATCTTTTTAATACATTTATAATTTACAGTGCAATGATTCATACATAGAATAGGGTGGTAATATCATTATTTCTGATGGCATCTTATCTTTTGGATTCACTCCTCTAAAGCCTGAATGTTATTAAAATCCTTCAAACAATGTCCTTGTCAGTTCTGGGAACTGATGTTTGCAGTAGAAGCTGCCCTGCGATTAACCTCGCTTCTCTTTACATGTATTTTTATTGTGGGGCGGAAAGGAGAAGTCATCTGGGCTGTTTAGGTCTCTGGTTTCCTGACTGGAGTCATGTGACCAGGAAGCGGAGACTGCATGGTCTATCCACTGTCCTCGGGGACCCTTGCCTCATAAGGCGAACATGCAATCTCATTTATCCAATCTCCGGTGCAAGAATAGAAGCCTGGGTCGCTATTATCCCAGACAAAAGGAGAGACTCGTCCATAAAGGATGGGGCTTTAATTATCGAACTCTCCTTGGGTAATTCACAAGGCCAGCATATGATTCAAGCTTTTAATGAAAACAAAATCTGAAATGAGTGAATATTACAAGAAGGTGGACAGTATGTAGAGTTAATCCATAAATAGATTGAGACCACAGTGTTTGGTTAAAATGTAAGTGTTAATCAGGAATCAGCTACAGACCCTTTAATAGGGGCAGCGATATGTGCGATGGAGCAGGGTGTGAAAGTGAGAGAGCGAAAAGGGGAAGCTGTTGACCTCAGGCTTTTTAGAAAGCGGATGTGGGTAAAAAGCATAATGTGGAGAGTATCCAGGCTGTAGACTGTGGCAGCTTTTGTTTGTTTGTGTTTGACAATTCAGAGCGTTTTCGTGAGTGCCACTTCGACATGGGAGCCATTCTGGGTGCAGATCATGTTGCATGTTTGTGTACACATTTTGAATCTTCTTCTGCTTTATATAAAATCTGTTTCCAACACATCACTGTGCAAGCTTAGTCATTGCGGCAATTATCATAAGCCACAGGTTGACTCATATATTTGTCAAAGTGCAACTTTGTCCCCCCTCCTCCTCTGCAAAAAAGGCCTGAGCTTCAGGATAGTCAGGTTTCACTCTATCATAGACAAACCGAATTAACTTTGATCTGTTTTCATGTGACACATCTCTCCAGTCACAAAATTACTAAAAGCGCTTAGTCTCATCTGATTTAAGGCACTGTATTGCTTGGATCCTTTATTAACATGAATGAAGGTGGACATTGACTTTATATACTGTGACTCATTAATTTACTTAACGCACACTATTAAAACCTATGAATAAAAACTAATCCACCCTTATGAAATTACGGAAACTTCTCACGGTTCTTTCTACATTAAAAAGTTAATTAAAGGTCCTTTCCCTTTGTTTAATTAGCATCCTTTGCATAAAAAACACAATAGAAATGTGTTAATTGACTGAATAACATTGCCCAAGGAGTAAGGTAAGAAAGCTGTGGGCTTGGTCAGAAATAACCCTCTGGTACATTCTCGTGTTTGAAAGTTTCATTGGTACTAGAACCCCCATACCATAATACTACTGCCGATGGCCCAAAACTTTGTTAAAAGATGAAAGATGTTGTTTTGCACCAAATTCAAACCCATCCATCCAAATGGTACAGTTATAAGACCTACTGGACAAGGGAATACTTTTCCAGCCTCTTCGTGTCACTCTGTCTGTTCTGGTACTCAGTTTAAACTGTGGCAAGCTGTCTTCACTATGTCTAGATGTGATGTTTAAAATGAAGTTTTTAATGTGTTCCACATAGCCAGAGAAATTTGAGCCCCTCTTTCTCTAGACCACAAAACCACATGATGTTTTTTGACGCTAACAGCTCAGACTAACTTCATCATCTTTAGATAAGTCCTGCAGCTCGAAATGTTCTGGGCTTCAGCTATCTTGGGGAAAAATTGGCTAAACTTTTTTTTTTTTTCTGTTTACCAGGACACATCGCATCACCATCACTAACTTCTGCCTAGGGAAGCACCTGGTGAGTGAGGATGATCTGCTAAAAGACCAGAGAGGCAGCCCAGCTTATATTAGCCCTGATGTATTAAGTGGTAAGTGAAATATGTCTCATGTAAATTATTCTTCAAAGAAGCCTTTGTTGAGACTTCCAGCTAAACCCTTCTTGGTTACAAAATGACATCTATATATTGGGTTTGCCTAATTCTAAACCGGTGTTGCTCAGGTTATCCAGATGTCGGAGATTTTTGTTCACGGTTTACATCTTCTAAGGTTCCCAAAGTCTTGAAAGGCAGGAAATGTTTAAGATTAACATGTGATCATTTTCTGGTAACGCTTAAGTCTGGCAAAATGTGTTTAAGCGATAGAGCATGGCAAAAGTTTTTTAGACTTAATTTGGTTCTATTATCCAAAGATGGAAAAACTGAATTATGCTAAAATAAAGAGCTAATCACCGATGGACTATTTTGTTAACACACCACAACTTGATCATTTTCCCTCTGTTATATACTTGACCTAAGATTTCTGAACTGGAATTCAGTAAAGAAGCTCAAAACCCTAAATTTCTTATTTGTGTTTCCTATCATTTGTCAAATAAAGCTGTTAATCATAAGAAACTGTGATTTCATAGAGACTGAACTTGATCTAAGGAAGGAGTTCAGGTTGTTAGCAGTGTTATATGAATTTTATTGTGTTGCTTAATTAGAAAAAACATAATTCTTAATTGTTATTTACAATTTTCCAGTTAATATGGAAGTTACATGTAACTGATTTGTTCCTAGAAACAATCCAAGTTTTTTGTGTATTTTAGAATTGCATAATATAAAAAAAATCTGTTTGATTTTCTGATTATTAAGCAACTACAAGGAAGTCGTGTTGCAATCTGTGAACTGCGATAGGGAGAATTTGTTTTTGTTTTGTTCTTGTTTTCATGGTGATGCTTCATTTTCCCACGTAAGCTTTGGGGATGCACAGAAAAGCGTCAAGGAAGCGTTGCTTCCCAATTCTCATAAGAAATATCAGCATGTGGCCAATCTCTTCCATAGAAAACTAGCTTCATCATGTTGAGCATTTGTTTACTAAACAGCATCCTAGACGTGGTCCTGGACCTAGAACGGTTCAAATCCCACATCTTGCGCCCCGTCTAGCAGTTGAAAACTGCAGCTAAAACCGTAGCGTCCATATCAGCATAACGTGACAGGCACACAATTAAACAGCTCCAGTGACTCATCTGCTGATGACTCATGAGAGGGAAAACTACTCCCATCTACTCCCATCCCCCGCCTCTGTATGTGTGACACAAGCTTGCATATAATTGCCGACTGCTGTTGCTGCCGCCTCTCTGGCTGGAACAACACCGCCTATGGTAATGCACAGCCTATGATGCTACAGCCTCAACAGCTCCAGTTTGTTCATTCTGCAAACGCGGCTGTTGGATTATCTGTTTGCTTTAACAAGAAGCTCTTCTGTTTTCAAAGTGGCACATTTCAAAGAAGAGCCATAAATGCTGAGTCATTTAGTTCATGTTTACCAGTTTTGTTAATCATTAAAACCTGTGACTTGAACTTACTGAATGTTTTGGTGACACTTAAAACAGGAAGTGATCCATTATTGCACTACATTAATGTCAGCCCTATGTGTGTGTGTTTTTATGGAGGATTTGTGTACATGAGTCTGTTCTTTATTGTAAAAAAAACAAAAACTGAGTAGCCCCTCTCCTTTGTGCTTCCAGGTCGACCATATCGTGGTAAACCCAGCGACATATGGGCGCTCGGCGTTGTCTTGTTCACCATGCTTTATGGCCAGTTCCCTTTTTATGACAGCATACCTCAAGAACTCTTCCGCAAAATCAAGGCTGCAGAGTATTCTATTCCAGAGTGAGTTTTAATCTGAAGCAGAGCTTCGATAATTCTCTCTGCATCCCTTTATTTCCACACAATGAAGTCAACAGTCCTTTGTATAACCCTCTATCAAAACAGATCCCATTAAGATTGAATTTTAAATTATTTCTGCCGTTTTTTTTGTGTATTTTTTGCATGATGATGCTGAGTTGTTACAAATTTTGGAATTTATTTACATTAAATAGCATTTTCCTCATTTTTTTGTCAGCAAATTATTGATGTGTCACATTTTTTAAAAAAATAACTGCCTCATTTGTGCTCATCCTACCTCCTCAGAGACGGTCGTGTGTCTGAGAACACGGTGTGCCTCATTCGAAAGCTGCTCGTGCTGGACCCTCAGCAGAGGCTGGCTGCAGGAGAAGTGCTGGAGTCACTCAGTGCCATTATTGCTTCATGGTAAATGCGCCACCTGCTGGTAGTCTGCTAAACAAAAACTAACTCATGATGGGTATCATGTCAGGTCTTTGTGTGTGAATGTAACCTTTGCACAAATAATAGGATATTCTCAATTCTGTTAATTCATTAACCTTCTTTTTCTGGTTCACCTTGTCACAGGCAGTCAGTTTCATCAATGAGTGGCCCCTTACAGGTAGTTCCAGATATTGATGATCAGGTCAATAACCAAGAACATCTGCAGGAGGTAAGATGTAAAAATAAAAGGTTATTTAACTTTTGCCAACAAGCTTAGATGAATATTAGTAAATTGCCTTGCAAAAGTATTTACACCAGTTTTGTTTTTTCCGTACTTTTGTTAATACTTCTTTTTTGATATTTTATGTGATAGATTTTTTTTTATGCAAATAAAGAGGAAAGTAATTCTTCACAAAAAAAATCCTGAAAAAACAATATACACCCCGCTTTACTCTAATACCCCGGTTTAAAATCCAACGAAACAAAATAGCTTAGGTTTGAGGTTTTCGGTATGTGACAAATCAAAGTAGTTGTAGTGGGATGTTTCTAGAATAAAAATACTAAACTTATCGGTTGTAGTTTTTATTGTTAAGCCGTTTGTTATGTCTTAATTACTGTCATAAATGCAGCATATTGAGCAGATTTTGTTTTTGAACCTAGGCCAAGGCAATCGAAGAGTCTTCACAGTACGAATTTGAGAACTACATGCGCCAGCAGCTGCTGCTGGCTGAAGAGAAGAACACTATTCATGAAGCCAAGAGCTTTCTCACCAAGCGTCAGTTTGGCAACATCCCACCTGTCAGGCGTCTGGGTCACGACGCCCAACCTGTCAGTCCATTTGATGCTACTGCCCTCGCTCAACGTTTCCTCCGGAAATAACCCTCAACCCCCCACAGCAGCCTCTCTAGCCTCCCTGGTAACTAAACACACCCAGGGAGACCAGAGAGGACTTGGGAGAAAATACCCAGAACTGAACTGGCACACAGGAAGGATCTGTCTGTACTGACAGGCAGACCGATGCACATCTGGGTTTCAGTAAGCTAAGCGAAGCAGACACAAAGCCAGGTACCGGAAAAGATTCCCACCTATGAGCTTGACTTTTCCAGTCTGGATTCCCTTCAAACATTGAAAACCCTGGATAACCCCCCCCCCCCCAAAAAGCTTCTTTACCCACAGTCACTGTGCAACAAACCCATCAGCATGGTCTGTCATGGTTCTGATGAGGTTCTGCCTGCAGTTTGGAAGCAACCATCAACCCCTCGTTCCTCCCCCCCCCCCCCCCCACCTCTAAAACCTCTCCATCCATTCTGGCTTCCCTGAGCAATACAGGTCCAGAATCATGTAGCAACCCCCCTCCCCCCCTCTTCACAGTGGTTTGGTATTGCCTCAAGTTGGATCTCTTGATCACAGATGTCATTCATGTATACCTCCATTCCACCTTCCTTATCTCTTTCTCAGTCTTTGTTTTTCCTGTCTTGTTCTTTCCACAACTCTGACTTCAAATCAATCTACCTCTTTGTCTCTATCCGTCTGTTTCTAATCTAGGCTCACAGTTCTGAGACCAGGGATTGTAACGCCCGAGTCTCGACCCACCAGTGGCATAAAAGCATTAATGTTTTTGGTTGCAATGAAACTGCTTTCAAACGGTTTCTAAAAATCTGAATAAGCTTTGTATTATTTATCTAAATAAGTAGCATTTTATCTCAGTAGTAGAAAGATTGAAGAAAGATTTGATTATCAAAGCTTACTTTGAAATTAGCGCTCTGCGTTGTCTCCTGCTTCTTGCTCATCCCTGTGGAAATCTCTTTAGCACCTCGGCAGCTATAGTGAGGTACCTGGGAGTCCAAATTCCAAGAACTGAATGAGGCCAAGTCCTAACGATGATGGTTACTCTTCCTCAGTGCCGCCATGGCGATTATCAGGCACTGTTATGTTTCCATTGCCAAAAATCCTGTCTTAAATTTCTTCTCAGCCAAGGAAACTGGTACTTTCAGACTCATTTAGAATTGTATGACTTCCAGGTGGCTTCCCCATGTCTTCTTATCCAACCCAACCATGGGACAACTGTTTGTTTTCTGTGTGAATGTCAATCTCATTTCTTCTGATGAATCTGCAGTATCCTGAAGTGTGCATGCTGTGTGTATGTGGGTTGGAGCCAGACAAACAAGTGTGTATGAGAGAAGCTGGAACTCTCTGACCCTTTAAGCTATCCACTAGTTATCATTGTGTCGTGTTATCTGGCCTGCCTCTGTAGCAGACACTGTGAAACAGAGCAGGCTCTGCTGCAGTGGGGCTTGACTGAATGTTTTTTTTGGGGGAATGGAGTGAAAGCTTAAAATGGGAAAAGACCATATACATTGCCTTTCAGATGTATTAATGACATTTAGTTTTCACACCACTAACAAAAACGTTCATGCATTTAGTTGGATTTTATTAAATAGAGCAACATTAAACGGGTCATAATTATAAAAGGAAAATTATTTATTTTGTTATATTATTAAGGCAGATCTCTTTTGGTTCATCTCTACTAACTTGAACCTAGTCAACTCTTCTTTGAAAGTAGCTCCAGCTCAGTTTACATAAATTCTAAGTCTTGCCACAGATTATTAATTGGATTGAGTTCTGAACTTTTTCTGGACAAATCTCACTCACCAGTGATCACAATTCACTGTATTTCTATATGTATGTTTAGGGTCATGACCCTTCTTTAGGGTCAACTTTCACTCCATTTTAAAGTCTCCTTCACAGAAACTGGTCAATTTTGATGAGCTCATCTGTTCTGCTCAGGAACGTCCCACTGAATAATGCTACCACAACCATGTTTTCATAAACCCTTTAAAGATTCAGTAAACATATGCATTGGGATTAAACTGCACACAGACGACTTCTAAAGGCCAAGTGTGTCATTGAAAGTTAGTGGAATCTGAGTGCAAGGAGCGTAAAATAAATGGCACACTTCTTGGATATTTTAAAAGCCATCCATCATTTTCCTTCCTTTATAATTATGCGCTTTATGTTGATCTATATTCCATTCAGAAGAAAATAGCTGAATACCTCTGTAAGGCGCTGTATCTGTTCTCTCTCTTCCAAACTCATCTTGTACATGCTCGTTTAATGTGGGTTCCTCTGAGCCCCCCCAGATAAATATTACTGTAATATTCTGTAGTTAAATGAAAATACAAGCTCACAGGTTTATAAGTGCAGTTTCTGGATTTGCTTGATGCATTCTTCTGGTTTTCTTTTTACAGAACTATTTTTGAAACCATGGAAATGCTACTAACTAGTGACTGTTAGCCATTTGTACTGTGCATCTTGCTTTTGCATATTTGTACCTGCTTTATGGCTTTCTATACTTTCCCTATTTATACTCGAACTGCATGAACATAGCTTCTGGATTTTGTTTTTCCACACATCTTTAACTGTTCTACCACTTTCTTACAGTTTCATGTTGATTTATTTATTCACTTGTGTAGACCCCCCCCCCCCAAACCACTGGTGCTTGTATAACAGACATTGATTGTAGACAGTCAGAAACTCTTTGAAACAATGCCCCACAGTTGTTTGCTCTCTGCTTTAAACAGTGGTTCCACTTTTGCAATCCAAATCTTTTTCCTCATCAGATACATTTGTGAAAGAGTAGCATTTCCTTTCCTCTAAGGATTACTCAGTTGTTTTCTTGTGGTCACCTTAAGCTACACTAATATTAAGACTGACTTTTGCATAGTTCTATTTTTTAAAGAAATGATAATAATAAATGGATTTTCACATCTTAATTTACGGGAAGGGTTTTTGAAGTGTAGGTTTTTTTTGTTTTTTTTTGCCATTACCCCTAAATCCCCACACAAGGCTGCACTCGTTGGTCAGTATGTAAATAATGTACCACAATGACTGTGACGGTCATACTTAATGTAATAATGCTCCACCCAGTGACTTACCAACACCTGTTTCAGCACATGATGATTGACACGTTCTTTGGGTCTTGTTGGCCGTCTAACATCACATCTGGAGGCTCCAATGAAATATTTAGAGAGCCGCTGGTTTTCTTCCCATCTAAATGTGAATTATGTGGGTACATAGCAGTATTGTAGTAGTCAAGGTTGTTCATCAGAAGAAGTTTTTTTTTTTTTTTTTTTTTAAGAAAAACCACCACTGAATGTTAACATTTAGTGGCGATCTTTGGGAATTACCTGATGCGATCCACCATGAGGAAAAATAAGAATGAAAAAAACAGATTAACTATTAGTAACTTTCCTATAAGTCTTAGATTGTACCCTGCTCAATGTTCACTCTGACATACTTTGTATAAAGGTATTTGAGTACAATTAAAAAAAAAAACATGCAAGGTGAGTCTAGAAAACATTTAGTCAGATAATTTTTGACCCCCCAGCTGAGTGAGTAGTACAGATATTGTGTTGGTTAAAGTTGCCAGTACATATTTGTGACTTGATCCAACTATAAATTAAGTACAGGATGTGAAACATGGAGTTACATTGTGTTGTGAGCTGCTTGGTTGGATATGGGCATCTAAATACAGAAAATTGATTAATTGTACAGATAAAAACATTTGTATAAAGAAAACATATTTTTCTACTTCATCAGATCTCTACATGCATGTCAGCAATAAACTTTGATATGGAAATGTTCATATGTGTCTTGTCCTCAATAAACCTTGACTTATTACCACTAGGTGGAGCAGTATGCTTTAAAAACCATTTAGTGGGAGTAGCAGAATAGATATTTATTTCTTTATTTTCCAATTTTGGTTCCCTAAGGATGGTGTTGATCTAGTTTGTTTACTTCTGTGGTTTTTAGCTTAAAAAAATAAGCTGTTCTGAACCGTGAATGGGGGCAATTTGTGGGTTAAAAAGTGAAGAGGGCACAGGGTGAAGGAACCTTTGTGCATTGCTATAGCTTCCCTCTTCAGTGAGTTCAATTATGAGTCAGAATGAAGCAGACCTACTTAAACAGGAAACTCTCCTGACAACACCGCAATTCACTGGGGGTCTTCTGTTCTGAAGGACCAGGTACCCTTTTTGGCAAATTACTTCATTATAAGGTTTGCAGTATAGAAGATCATACAAAACTGTCATCATGACCAACATTAAGGCATTTCTATTTTTGGGTTATAATATACAATGTTAACATTTAAGCTGTTCTATAATGACTAGTGTTTAAGAGGGGCTTTGGTGTTAATGGCAGGGAATTTGAAGTGGGCAGACAGTTTTATGTGCATATTTTTTCCTCTAAGCGTTTAAAACGGGAATAAACATGCTTTAGTGAGTTGTAAATTTTCTTTTCTTCCAACTGTGCCCCATTAAAACTATCACTTTTTCCTCCAGTGATACAAGGATTATCAGTTAAAATCATTACACAGGATTTTGATTGAGGGGGGGAAAAGCTAAATATCAGTTTATGTACGGTGTGGATGTACTTGATGCGCTAACATACACTATTTATTACTTGGATACACAACTTTAAGAGCTGTACCTCTTTATAAAAGTCTGAATCATCCTCAAAAAGCAGCTGTCTCTATACCTATACCTGGACATGTCCAGGCCCAATATGACACACCTTCCAAGAAGCAGTTATCATTGACAAAGTCATTTTATATAGTTGGCTACAAGAAATACAAACTTAAGTCATTGAAAAAATATTTTATCTGTTAATGCTTTTGCTGAAAACATGTAATAATTACACACAATACACTTATGATAATGTATATTTTAATAATTGATTACTTGATTTTTTTTTTTTTATCTTTTCTGAAAGTACCAAAATATAAATGACAGTATTTATAACATCCAGACTTAAACAGAATATCTGGAAGAACCTGGATTAAATTGTTCAGTCTTGTATATCAAGGCAATATTGTGACATTATTTGTAAGCTAGCAAATTTTATTCAGTTTTTAAAAATGTTTATCTCAAATTATAAAATTTTAATGTTACCCATGAGCCCTGGGTCTTCCCACCCATTTCCTGCTGTTATTTGGTCACCCAGCCAACCACTCAAACGTTTAGGAATGGGGGGTAGTTCAAAGATTTTGGAGGTCAAAGTTCTTAAGATTCTTTGTCCCCATAAATCACATCCATCTGAGGGCCTTCCAGACTTCATTGGTGTCTGAAACAAGTGTTCGTTTAACACTACGTCAGACTTTTGCAATGTTCTGGTGTAATTACCTCAGAGAGCATTACATATTCACTTTCACACGGACAGAGTGGGATTTATTCAGTTGGACATGGATAAACAGTAACCCCCTTATTTCCAGATGTGCGGATATAGCTGTATTGTCACAGCTTTTAAGTTATCTACTTTTAGTGATTGTTAAACAAGAGTTGGAAATAAGAGATGCAAGCACACAGCTGCCTTTGTTTTTTAGTGGATGCTTTATGGCTGTTGTGTGTTAGAGTATTTCAAACTCATGGTTTATGGCATCTGCTGGCATTCAGCCCAAAATTTATATTGCACTGAAGGTATCGGCTACCAGAAACCCACAAAGTGGAGGCCACATGCAAAACTGGTAATGCACTTCTATATTGTCTTTGTAGGATCTTACTGCAGTTGGCTTTAAACCCAACAACATTTTCAGCAGTGTTTGTGGCCAAAAGCTGCATGACGTGCAGATCTATAGTGATGGAGGCAGTTTTCCAAAAACAAAAAGGCTTAAAAACTGAGGAACATGATTCTAAATGCAAAACAGCAATGCAATGTTGAGGTGCTGCACTGACCAAGCACTTCCTTTTTTTTGTTTTCCATTCAGCACCACCAAGAGTCTAGAGGAGAGGTGATGAGATTAGCAGCCCTCGGTTTTGCATACGATACGGAGTTAAATTCATTGTTGTTGGCCAACATTCAGATCCCCTAACAGACAGTGGCCCCCACAAGAGGAGCAGAGGGAGAACATCTGCAAAATATCTCTTTTTAATTATTCTGCATTTTCCCCAGTCTTAAAACCAGCAATAAACAGGACGTCTAAGAATAAATTTATACTATTGTCAGTTGCAGGGAACCATAGTAGCCGAGAAAACAGTAACCGTTGGGATGTTTATAGATTTTTCCATTCAAGTCTCTGCTAGATATGTTGAATCAGACCTAATATGTTCTTGTAAAATACTTCTTTGCAAACTATAGATGCAGTGTAAGATCATAAAACACTTGAAACAACACCACAAGAAAGAACTTGAATGAAGCTGCAAAAGCGGTGCCAGCAGTAGGCAGCTTTGCTGTGGTAACACGCACATCTTACAGCAATGGGATTAAAAAGCTGAGCTAAGTCAGACACATGAAAAAGCTGGTCTCCTGTACTTTGCTTTTTGCAGATGTGTGATTCTGTTACTGCCTTTAAGGCATGACCTTCACTGTGTGGAGCTGTTTGCCAATGAATACAAACGTTTTAAGTCTTAGGACCATGGCGTCCAGAAAAGTTGAACCCCTTCCTCAGGGTTTGGTGTGCCATGTTGGTCAGACAGAATGAGGCCTCATCTACTCTGACATGAGTAAGACATTTCTCCATCACCCCCAACTGCTTCTCTCTGCATAGTTTCTCTTTTTTTTTCTTTTTTTTTACCATTTCTGAAATAATCTTCCTTACTGTTTTAAAAATGCCTTCATAATTTAAGCACATCTAATGGGCGAAATCCATTTAGTTGCTGCCATGCAAACTGGTAGATTCATTTCCAGTGTCAACATTTAAAACGTACAGGTGCTGGTCATAAAATTAGAATATCATGAAAAAGTAGATTGATTTCAGTAATTCCATTTAAAAAGTGAAACTTGTATATTATATTCATACATTACATACAAACTCATATATTTCAGATGTTTATTTTGTTTAATTTTGATGATTACAAATGACAACAAATGAAAATCTCAAATTCATCATATCAGAAAATTAGAATATTGTGAAAAGGTTCAAAATTGATGGCCCCTGGTGCCACACTCTAATCAGCTAATTAACTCAAACCACCTGCAAAAGCCTTTAAATGGTCTTTCAGTCTAGTTCTATAGGCTACACAATCATGGGGAAGACTGCTGACTTGACAGTTGTCCAAAAGACGACCATCGACACCTTGCACAAGGAGGGCAAGACACAAAAGGTCATCGCTGAAGAGGCTGGCTGTTCACAGAGCTCAGTGTCCAAGCACATTAATAGAGAGGCGAAGGGAAGGAAAAGATGTGGTCGAAAAAAGTGTACAAGCAAGAGAGATAACCGCACCCTGGAGAGGATTGTGAAACAAAACCCATTCAAAAATGTGGGGGAGATTCACAAAGAGTGGACTGCAGCTGGAGTGAGTGCTTCAAGAACCACCACACACAGACGTATGAAAGACATGGGTTTCTGCTGTCGCATTCCTTGTGTCAAGCCACTCTTGAACCACAGACAGCGTCAGAAGCGTCTTGCCTGGGCTAAAGAGAAACAGGACTGGACTGCTGGTGAGTGGTCCAAAGTCATGTTCTCTGATGAAAGTAAATTTTGCATTTCCTTTGGAAATCAAGGTCCCAGAGTCTGGAGGAAAAGAAGAGAGGCACTTCATCCACGTTGCTTGAAGTCCAGTGTAAAGTTTCCACAGTCAGTGATGGTTTGGGGTGCCATGTCATCTGCTGGTGTTGGTCCATTGTGTTTTCTGAGGTCCAGGGTCAACGCAGCCACATACCAGGAAGTTTTAGAGCACTTCATGCTTCCTGCAGCTGACCAACTTTTTGGAGATGCAGATTTCATTTTCCAACAGGACTTGGCACCTGCACACAGTGCCAAAGCTACCAGTACCTGGTTGAAGGACCATGGTATCCCTGTTCTTAATTGGCCAGCAAACTCTCCTGACCTTAACCCCATAGAAAATCTATGGGGTATTGTGAAGAAGAAGATGCAATACACCAGACCCAACAATTCAGAAGAGCTAAAAGCCACTATTAGAGCAACCTGGGCTATCATAACACCTGAGCAGTGCCACAGACTGATCGACTCCATGCCACGCCGCATTGCTGCAGTAATACAGGCCAAAGGAGGCCCAACTAAATACTGAGTGCTGTACATGCTCATACTTTTCATGTTCATACTTTTCAGTTGGCCAACATTTCTATAAATCCTTTGTTTTTATTGGACTTCAGTAATATTCTAATTTTCTGATA